TGCCCATTTTACCAAAAGGGGGGGGGTTCTTCCCCCTTTGGGGGGAGGGGGTTTTTTGGCCCCCCCCCACCATGTTTTTTTGGCCCCCCTTTTGGTTTCCCCCCAAAAAAAAACCCGGGGGAAAAAAAAAAAACGGGTACCCGGGTTGCGGATTCCAGAAAGGAAATGGGTTTTTTTTAAAAGTTGGTTCCCATTGGAGAAAACCCCATTCCGGAGGGCAACCCCGGAGGGGGGGGCTTGTTTTAAAAGTTGGTTCCCAAGGGAGGAAAACCCAAACCCGGAGGGCAAACCCGGGGGGGGGGGGGGGGGGCAATATGGACCGTGGACCGTTCGTGCATGTTTGCCGTACGCTACTCGCCGTGCGCGAGAACCTGGCAAGACGTTGGTACTTAGATTTGATTTGTGTCCGTGGGGATGGGTGTTTTGGCCGCTCGTCGTTTTTTTTAGTAATTCTCCGTCGGTATTTTTTCGTCTGCTTGCCTACGCGTAACCACCATGGTGGAAGACGACGAGCGCCCTATACACACCTGTACACCGTGAGGTCTCCGGATGAGCGGTCACTGCTGTCGACACCCATCACCAAAGCAAAGCATCAAGAAGCAGGGAGCAAATCTTGACCCTCTGGATGTTCGTGTTGGCCTATGCATACCCGGCTGGCTGCTTCCATTTGGGCAGGAATATTTTCAGTTGTCCAACCAGCAACGAAAAGCATCCACAGCCATCGAAATGCTCTCTTCCGTTCTTGTCCCACCGCTGTCGATCGCTCCTTTTTGTTGCCACCGAGCAGTGCTTTTTGCCACAGAGCGCGGTCCACGATGCCAAGAAAAAGAAGATGGTCAACTGCGGGGTCGTTGCCTTCACACTCGAGAGGTACGCGTGACGGTGACGGTGTCGATTTTTTTTTTTTTCCATGTTTCCGTGTCTGAGGGACTTGCAACGCCGCCGGGAGTTGACTGATGAGAGAGCGGTGGTAGTCCAGTGTCTCCGCCAACCGCCAATATCGTCGCATCCTATCGTGGACAGCCCCAAATCAAGGGTGTGGGTTTGAGCATATACCGCTGTTGCCATATTCGAATGCGGAATGAGTTGAGCGAGGTGCACGTACATACGAGGCGTGATCTTGGTTTGCATTTTGCACGACAACGAGACTCCTTGCGAAACCAAACCAAGTCGAGGGAGTTGATTTTGCGTCTTACGCCAGCGCCACACCCGTCCCCTTGCGTCCAACAAAGCACCCGCTCGCTCGTTTCCGCCTCCTGCTTTTCCGAATATTTCTATGCGAAACCCCGGAACTGCCTGGTTCGATCGCAGCGGTGTCTACGAAGGGCGGCAAGCGTACAAGATTGAACCTGACAGCATCGTCAGCGTGTACGGCGGCTTCAAATAGACAAGGAGGTTAGCGGATCAACGGCTGTCTGCGGAAAAGACAGACAGACGTTGGTTCTTGAAGTTTTGGCAACACTCTGTGGATCGTAGGCAGGAAAGACTTGTGTTGGGAAGTGCGACAAGCTAGGGGTTAGACATCGGAACAGCGGGCTCTAGCAACAGCTTGGGGTGTTGGAATCGGTCATTTCCGGCACGCCAGGGCGGAGCCACCTCTTGAGGGCAGGAATTAATCAACAGGGTGGGGTTCGTGATGTGTTGCACTTGTTGGCAGCCTTAGGCCATGGCACGCGTGTAGGACATGGGGCGTTTTTCCCTCTCTTACCCTTGAGAGTCTGCGGGGCGACTGGTACACCACGAGGTTTTTCGAGATTGTTTCAAAGTGGCGGCATATATGGATGCTGGACAATGTATGCATAGGTAGGATACGACGTAGCAGTGGCAGTTGTCGGTGCCCTGTGTACAAGTCGGTCGGTCGTCTTACACCGATGTCTCTAGGGATCGCTGTATGAACATGTCTCGGGACTCCACATGCCCTATCTGAAGAGGGCAGAGTCTCGATACAGATGCTGCGTACTGTGGAGTACTCTAGTAGTGTCTAGGGCTTCCTCTCGTACACAGAGCGGGGGAGGGGGCAGAGGTACATCTTGCCGCTGACATTTTTGGTGGATCATTCCGTTTATCTTGAGCGTTTTTTGACGTGGCACGTGCTTGCGGCTTTGTTCGGTTGACTCGCGCCAGTGACGACACGTTTCCCCAGCCCGGCTGCATTTCCGCCTACAGCAAAACAGAGGGCAGAGAGAAGAAAACTCTGGAAAAGAGAGTTTTGAGCCAGGAGAATGCCTGTGGTACTGCTGTAGAGTATGGAATCGTGCGCTATTAGAATCGCCAGATGCACACCAGTGTACGCTACACACGACCGGTGTCCTTACCGGGCAAAACCCACATAAACCTTTCTCCGTGAGCTCGTTCCGTAACGTGGGCAAACAAACGGAGTAAATCGCCGCTGGGGTTGAGTGGAAATTTCTTTGAACTCGTTTTTGATCGTTGGGTTGACAAAGCACACACAGGAACGAGGCATCTGGTTGTTCCTGACCAAGAAGAAGAGCACTAGAAAATAGAAACAGAGGGCCAATGTGTACGGCCGCAATTGGTGGGACTTGAAGCAAAACGCCTGAGCGGAGTCACGGTCTCAAGCATGAAAACACTCCACTATTATAACATCAAAAAGCCTGCATTCCGCTTACCCCGAAATACGTGCTCCCAACAAAACAACCACACGGGTCGGGGGCCCGGGATCGGCCTCCTAACCCCACCACTCCGCAAACGCCAACACCAGTACTGCAATAGGGTCAATCAAAAGAGTACGGCTTCTACGCTACAGCAGCGCCAGCAGTTTTCTTCTTCATCTTCGCTTTCTTGTCCTTCTTGACCTTGATCTCGCCGCTCCCCTCTGCAGCAGCTGCTTCGCAATCTCCCTCATCCCTTCCTCTCGACTTCTTCTTCTTCTTGCTCTTTCCCGGTGATTTCGCCGCCTCCTCCTCTACAGCCTCAGCCTTGCCGACCTTGGGTTTCTTCTTTTTTCCTGACTTCGCTTTTGGTACAGCTCCCTCTTGCGCCCCTCCCTTGTCGTCCCCGACCCCATTGCCGCACACTCCATTAGCGGTGCCGTTTGCCGCCTCCTCCGCTGCTGGTTCTGTTGCTTTCCCTCCTTTCTTCTTTTTCTTCTTCTCCGTGCCGCCGCCGCCGCCGCTGGTGCTCGGTTCGGCTGTGCCGTTTGCCGCCTTCTCTACTACTGCATCTGTCGCCTTCCCTCCTTTCTTCTTTTGCTTCTTCTCCGTGCCGCCGCCGGTGGTGCTCGGTTCGCTCGAAGTCGACCCGTTCGCAGCGGCGGATTCGTCCACTTTCCCTCTCTTCTTTTTCTTTTTCTCGTTTGAGGTCTCGTTCTTGGTCCCCTCGTCCCCCATCCCCCCGGCAGAGCTTTTTCTCTTCTTCTTCGTGGGGACGTCGCTGGCGTCCCCTGCTTGATCGATGCCCGCTTCCTCCTCCATTTTCTTCGCCTTCTTCGTTTTCTTGGCACCCTCGCCATCCACCGCAGCTACGGGAGTTTCTGCTCGTTTTCGCTTCGTTTTCTCCTTCTTGCGAGGCGTTTCCCCGTCCGAAGCGGTGCCATTGGAGGGCACAGCCGTCCCGTTGGGTTTTCGTATGCTCTTCTCTCCTTCTTCGCACCCTTCACCTGTCACCCCTTCGCTCGACGACTCCGCTGCTGCCGCCGCCGCCGCCGCGGCCTTCTCCTTCTTGACCCTTTTCTTGGCCTTTTTCGCGTCCTTCTTCTCCCGCTTCTTGAGCTTCTTGGCGGCCTTTCGCTTCGCTTTCTCGTCCCCGCTGCCGCCGCTCTTTTCGTCGTCTTCGTCATCGCTGTCGGCGAAGGTGGTCTTGAAGTGCCCGGGCTTCACGAAGTACGAGTAGAGACCTAGGTCGGGGACAACGGTCACGACACGAAACGCCAAGCGAAGGTCCAGCGCGGGTGGAACGTTACCTCGCGGTTGTGGTTTATAGAAGACGAAATCAAACCATTAGACTAGTCGGACGTCACGAACCCCACGACTAACTTGTGTAGAGGCCGAAATCAAACCATTACACTAGTCAGCGGCTGATAATGGTTTGATTTCGGCTTCTATACAGTAGGTTGATGGGTCGTGTGTAATGCATAACAGTAGATCAACTGCTGCGGTGGTCCTATTGTCCTAGTGTAAATGTTCACCTCCTGTTTTAGCGGACGACGTCGTACATCGTGTGTCTTGACGTTTGTCAACTGGGTCGCACGGAAGCACTGCCTCCCCTACCCCATACCCCTCAATCTTGACTCTCCCACCACCAGATTGAGGTCGTGCGTGGTACATGTTTGATGCATGACCGGTGGTGTGGTTTGTTGCGCCGGAGTCTGCAAGCCATTCCTCCACTCCTACTTGCTCTCCACGAATCACAGGCAGACAGTTCACCGTTGCCAACCCCTCCTAATCCATCACACCACAAGGCAAAACAAAACGAAGCGATGTCGCCCCCGTATCCCCGCTCTCCTACAAGGGTATCAACCATTTCAAAGCTTTCGAAACCACAACGAGGCGCTCGTAGGGCTAATAAGCATCACCACCACGCCGACGTGGCTCACCATTCTTGGGAAGGCCGTTGTCCCTCTGCTTGAATCCACCCTTCACCAGCCCCGCGCTCCCGAGGCCACCCTGAGAGAGCACGGGTGACGAGAATTACACAGGCGAGGCGTTAGGGATCGGATAGAAAGGCAGAGCGTAGAGCGAGGAGGGATTTGCTGCTGCAAAACGTCGGGGCGTACATACACGCCTGCTTTCGAGCTACGGCCTTGTGTTTTCACGCGAATGTGTAGGCATCATGTCAAAACACGCTCGGACAATAGTATGCATACAGTTCTCCACAACAGTGCGACTTTCGTGATGTCGCGGATAGTTGCGGACGGGGTGGGGGTTGGTGGGGGGGGGAGGGCCAGAACGCCACCGTGGCGATGACTGTTTTGTTGGAGGCCTTGTGTGGGTGGGTGTTTTGTGCCTCGACAATACATTCTACTCGCGGAGCCCCTTCCGTATTGATGAATACATCCGTGCACATTGGATGCGATCATGGCAAAAGGAACAGAGCTCACGCCCTCGTCGGTATTGGCGACCAACCTTCTTACTGATCCCCCTCCCCTCCCCCCTCCCGTAAGGCGACAATCTGCACCACATGCACAATCACTCGTTGAAAAGGGGACACAGGGTGTGGGAGCAGCGGCGGCTGGGGCCGCTGTGCGTGTCATGCGCCTGTAGTTCCAGAAAAATACACGAAGTAGAAAGGAAGTGAGAGCAATCGTTCGATGCGCAGCCGTTGCTGTGCTTCCTTGCTCTGGTGCGCATCGACTGCAGAATGCCCGCTCGTGAACTACTATGATGCTTGAGGTGGTTATCGAGCTACTGTAAAGCAGCCCTACGAGGGGAGAAAGGAACCGGCTAGGATCCCAGGATCTTGAGCTCCATCAATACCGTAGGTTGCACAAGATATCACATACCCTGGCCCGATTCTCAAAGCTCGATTACTCGGCAGGAAAGGCAGTGACGGTGCCGAAATGGCGGAATTGGCACCGTCTCGTCGAGAGCTTTCCGAACACGTATCGCTTGCCCTCCGCATGCTCTTCGTCATCAAGTAATGAGCTTTGAAAATCGGTCCGGGGGGTGTGGTATCCTATGCAACCTGCGGTATTTCGTCGGAAGCCAAAACCACGACTGCTGGGCCCAACACAACGACTACGTTTTGCTATCAAGAGGACTTTGAGTGTCCTGCAAAAAGCACCACCAGAGGTTTCATTTGGAAGCACAAGTGGTAGCTAACAACGGCGATTTGCCCCGGTGGTGATTCGATCCATGAGAACGTGTGTATTGCCGCCGCCCTATGGTACAGATTCAAACATGAGACGAAGGGAAAAACTGCGTGCTGCCGTACCAACCACAGCTCCAGGTGACCAGAACAACATCCACAACCGATATGCACGTTCTCACTGCTCCTGCCTAGCACTTAGCGAACAGGGTGTGGTCCTGTCAATTTACAGCAGTATCAGCACGGTGTAGGCGACCAGATGATGGTGGACAGCGGAGTCGTGGCAGAGCACAACCACCACCACCACCACCCGGTGCTGTGCACGAGCGACTGCGGGAGCTTCGCTGGCCACGTCACGGCGGAACATGACCCAACAATGACTGGCTCTGAACATTTTAGATGCATCCTTTGCCGCCAGCTGTGTATCAAGAGTGTGGCCTGGGTGCTGGGATGCCGTACGTTGTCATGAACCTCTGTTTCTCGCTACAAGACGAGTGGAGGAAACGATTCCGCCGCACTTAATCTCGCGAACAAGGCAGGTCCAGCGCGTCGATGGACACACCAAGGGCATTTGACTCACATGATTTCCCTTAGGCGCTAGCTTCTTCAGCGTGTCGTGCAATCGTTGGAGCTTCGAGTCCTCCATGGCTACAGCAATCGTTTGTGCAAGCAGTGGTCACCAGTCCCGTCGCAGCAAGTGGGGGCACGCAACCCAGAAACGGAACCCCCCAGCCCCCACGGAGCGCCAAGTTGTCTACTCGGCGTGGCCGCCCCAGCGGGATGGCTGAGATGGCTCACCTCTCGTGCCAACTCACAGCCCTCTTGCACTAACTCCAACTCACAGCTCGCGTTCAACAGGTGAGGAGGGGAAAAGGGGGGGCGAGCCGCTTGAATGTGGTATCAGGAATAGCACAGCGATAGAGAGATGTACTTTAGTTCGTCAGCGATGTTTGTGCTTATATGTAGTGTTCTTAGTTTTTTATAGGAGGAGTCTTTCCGATCTATCTGAATGCCTCTGCTGCTGCTTTCCTAGCTTCAAGGACTGCCGTGGTGGTTCAACGAGTTTCCGTGGTGGGTCAAAGCAGAAGCTTCCAGTACGCAATAGGGTTAATGACGAGACTTAGGCGGGTTGTGCTCAGGGGACCTAGGCCAGCGGTAACACAGACGATACGCTCACCGCCTCCCTCCTGTAATATTTTTCGGCGCCCGTCTTTCGTACCTTTTGTCTCCCAAGGTCTGGACCATGCGTGTAGTCTATTATAGTCAAGCTACAGCAGTCTACGGCAGTCGACACATCTACCCAAGACACACGACACCAAGTCCGTGAACGAGTCTGCCGTGGGTAGTGCGACGGCCTTGTCTTCCTCTTAGCAACGAGAATACAGCGAGTCGCACGTGTTTAGTGGCAGTGCAGCTAATGGGGTAATTTTTTTCGTCAGGATGGGAAGGAAAAGCTGTAGAACTCCACAACAGCGGCTGCGCGAGGAATTTTCCTCGCGAATTCCCATCTCCACGCCTCCAAGAATACCGTTGAGTTTTATTTGTGGGGGGGATAAATAGATGAATACAATAGCATACAGCTATGGACTACCAGTAGGTGGACTCTTGGCGGTTTGATCCACCGTTGATGGAGCTCAGTTTCAAGCGGAAAGCGCGTTTAGTGTTGTCTCTCTCCACCTTCTTCGCGAACTACATGCTACTTTCGAAGTATTTTTTGTAGAAACGCTTCCTTCCATCCCCCAGGTGTGTGGCCGACAGTAGGCCGGTCATGAGCAGGAGCACATCTGCCCGCGCTTCAGGTTTAGCCGTGGACAACTTGCTTATCCGCACAGCCGTCGATAAACGATGGGAAAACGCGTAAGAGGTACACTCCTGATTTTGAAGGATAAAGCACGAGTTGGGGTCTTCACTAGCAGCCCCCCTCGAAGGATGGATTCCACCACACATGCTATCCGTACCTAACAGCAAGGCACAGCAAAGCGTTGCTGTCCCGCGAGCGACAATTAAAAAGTGGGTCCAATATCATGGGTCTTCCAGATTGCACAACACCTGGCAGTATAACCCCGGCGATGGCTGTTAAACATCGCCGACACAAAACAAGAAATAAGCTTGCCTGCCCCCCCCCC